AAATAAATATATGTATGTCTTGGCCAGATGCCACTGAACATTTTGAAAGTTGAAAGTGAAAAAAAATTCAAAAGTGAAAAAAGTTGTCACACCTCAAAGCGCAACCCAATGTTGGACAAATACGTTTTATGTTGCATTATTTTGAAATGGCCATTGCAGAAAAAAAGCAGGCATGAAGAAAAATTCTGTTTCTGCGGTTTGGTGACATATTCAAGGCTCTATTTATGTCGTATGCAAGATTTGGACTGGGTGGTTTTTTTATTGACATATGCAGCATAGTTAGTGTGTGATTGACACACTCCTGCTGCTGTGGCTCATAGAGGGCGCCAAATATAAATAAATAAATACATGTATGTCTTGGCCAGATGCCACTGAACATTTTGAAAGTTGAAAGTGAAAAAAAATTCCAAAGTGAAAAAAGTTGTCACACCTCAAAGCGCAACCCAATGTGGGACAAATACTTTAAACGTAACAATCAATATTATTGCATGTGGGTTAAGGCCGACCCGGCCCGAACCCGATCACTTAACTTGATTTGCAGCCCCTAGCCCGAAGCAAACCCGAGATTTCATATTTTATTTGTGAGGACTCGGGAGGAGGAGGGGTGATTTCTGATAACAAAGCCTGTCTTTTGTACCAAAATCTAAGTTAAACAAGACTGTATAAACATTTACATCTTTTATATTTCTGTTTCTGAAGAGGTTACATTAACCGACAATTTTCCATGATTGACGGATTTTTTTTAAGAGTCGACGGGGAAAATTTAAGGCCGTCCGTCATTTTATTGACGGAGTCGACGGGGAAAATTTAAGGCCGTCCGTCATTTTGACGGGTTGAAGATTGGGCCATTCACCACAGCAGCAGTACGTCCTTAAGAATCGAGCGCGGCACTTGGAGAGAAGCAGCGAGACAAAGAAGAACAATGACGATGGGATCATAGAGACATGAAGGAGTTCTTTGAATTTGTCATGATTCGGTTTGGGACCAACAGGTGGCACTGTAGGGCTCCCCTGCAGCTGCACACCTGTTGGTCATTAGGTAATTAGTGGCTTTAAAAGGACTCCCAGCCCGAGCAATCATTGTCGGGTCATTGTTGCTTTGTGCTACTGTCATGTTTGTTTGTTGCTGTTTGCTGTCATGTTTGTTTCAGTCAGGTTTTGGTCATTGTTATGTTTTATCTTCGGTTATGTGTTTTGTTTGATACTTTGGACTTTGTTTGTTTTGGATTTAGTTTTCTGAGTTTTAATACAATCTTTCAAGTACACCCTGCTCCTCCCTCCTGGCTGCTTTTTTGGGATCCACCTCGCTACGTGACAGAATTGTCATTGCGAGAGTTTAGTACAGTACGTGTTGTGATGAGGCCACTTCTGTTTTTTTGCGAACCACGGTCTCTCGTGTCCAAAACTATTCACGCCCTCAAAACAAAAAAAAAAAAAGGTCAGCGAGAGAGAAGCCCGACCCGAACCCAACCCAGCAATGATTGACATTTGGGCCTAAAATGTCAATCATTGCTTCGGGTTCGGGTTGGGCTCGGGCGGCCCGATCTTACCTCTAAGAGCAATGGCTTGTGGTCAGTGAAGACGATGACTCGAACGCCCTCGATGAAGTGGCGGAAGTGGCCGCTGCTATGTCCACTACTCATGCCGCATCCACGGCCGTGGCGACATTCCTTCCTACGACGCGTAACTCCTGGAGCTCGTCCTGCATGAGGTGCTGCGTCACAAGGAGCTGCTGGAAGGCATCCTTGTTGGCCATGTCGCAGATGGAGGGGAGTGAAGTGGGCGAATAAATCCGATGGGGTTGCCAAGTGAGGGGGGTAAAATCCGAGAGTGTCCGTGGTTCGGAAAAAAGGCTGGCTTGCCACTCCTTTGCTACATGCCCATGTCTATGATGTGGCTCTTTGCAGTAACACAGTAAAAAAAAATTGGCTCTTAGTCTCTGATGGGTTGGCCACCCCTGCTCTGCACCATTGGATTAAGTGTTCAAACTCAAAAAGTTCTCTACAATTACTAAACGCAGTCAATCCACCCCGGACGATATATTTTCCCCAGTAATTCAAATTTAGAGTTGAGACAGTTGGTAAATTTGTCTAATTCTTTCCAAAATATTTTAACCACATAAGTAGGCAAATGTGCCACTTGAAAGACCTATATATAACTGTAAATTCAGTCAGACAGTCACAAATTTAGCCCAACACGTGGCATAATCAATTCTGTTACATAATCCCAATGTCCTCAAACGAGTACTTCAGATTTACTGCCATTTTACTTTGCAGCTAAGAATGAAATTTGCCACATGTTAATGCCATATGAAGCTAGAGATTTTATTGTAACTAAATACACTGATTTCATTAAGAAAATGGGAATACACATTTGACCTTTCTCTATTTTGCTTTAGGAGTTTGACTTGAACTTTTTTTCAGATTTTCAGAGATGAAAGTGGACTTTCCGGAAAATTCCGGAATATATGTGTGTACATTAAACTCTAACATTTATTTTGTGAATGCGAACACTTTGTTTTTCTTCTTTCTTCTTTCTACCCAATCATACTGCTGTAGACTGTAAATTTCCCCAATGTGGGACATATAAAGGATATCTTATATATATATATATATATATATATATATGATATATATACATATGAGAGAGAGAGAGAAAATGATTTTAACTGACTTACCAGGTTTGTTGACCTTTCTAATGCAGTCGGACAAAAAATCTCCGTTAAAGTCCTTTTCCTCAAGCCATAACCACTTGAACGTGTTCCTAACACTCGCGCCTGTTGCATGTATGTCAGCTTGCCTGTCTAGCTGTTTGAACAATTGCGCTGGGCCCGTATCTAGCCGATCACGCATGAATTAGTTTACAAAAAACACTATTCAAATACTCGACATTCAATGATTAATCTGCCTTTTGTGTGCACACGTGCACCCTTTGTGGCTTCCATTCTTGCCGAAATTTCAAAATCTCCGAGATATGGCGATGCCATGAGAATGCGAAGGGAGGGGTGTTACTGTTACTAGTGTTAGTGCCTCAACATGGCTACGCTCGTGAAAGCAAAATTTGGACAAAAAGGGAAACACAGATTAACAGAAAAACACGTCCATCCGACATCGAGCGTTGTGTCGTCTCCGCTCTCCGCTAGCTTAGCTGTTGTCGTAGATCAAAGCTTCTTTGAACTATGTCGTCGGTTGCGTCGGTGCTGATTGGTTGAAATCAAAAGATGCGCGCGTGCGTACATGTTTGCGCTGATGCACGCACAGTAGAGAGCAGCGGACTATTGAGTGCTGAGTCGCGCTTCGCTCGAGTGGTGTCGCAACCAGCAAAACAACGAACTGAAACGCATGTTCGTTCAATGTTGTCAACTAATATCCGGATTAATTTTAGGCAATTTTTCCTCAATTTTCCAGAGGAACGTTCATGAAAATTTGAAAATCTGGAATTCCGGGAAAATCCGGAGGACTTTCATCACTGGACTTTGACACTTTTTACTTTTTCCTGAAACGGGTGTCATGTTCAATCATAAGAGGGTGTGGGCAGTGTCACCCAAATGTGGCTGATACGCCATAATAAAAAATGGTCTCAGAAACAGAAATGTTATGTCCTCACATGAGTATCAGGGGTCTCAGGAAGCTAAGTCTGCAGTTAAATAATTGCATCTCTGACGTTTACCCGACTAACCAAGCCGTTTGGTCGGCTGAGGATTTGGTAGATGGGGTGTATTAACCACTATAGCAGTGGTTCTTAACCTTATTAGAAGTACCGAATCCAACCAGTTCATATGCACCGAACCCTTCTTCAGTGAAAAAAAAAAGGGGGGGGGGGTTGTTTGTTTGTTTTTTTTACAAATTCAAGACATAAAAAAACTGCATTTAGTAAAAATAGAAAACATTAAACACAATTAGTCTAAGTATAAAGTATACGTTTTTTAATTGTATACAAAATGAACCAAGCGGGGAAGTCATAACTTATTGACATGTTGAGTTGTATTTGTCTGAACCTCCATGGCAAAGGCTCAGGTCATCGCTCGATTCCAGCAGCCCCGTCCCAAGATGGCCGACCTGTGACGACATTACTTCCCATTGGCTCGCGGCGCGCATTTTGATATTTATGATCTTGTATTATATTTATGAACTGCTTATGGTGCATTCGTGGAAAGTGTTAAATCAGAGAAGTCTCACTCGGATTGTCCGGGTTCCGACCTTAAACCATTCGAGATGGCTGATTCCGATAAATTGTTTGTTGCTCTGGTTCATCACAAACCATTTTGACCTCCAGCAAACGTTCTTTTTATTTTTAATAATTTGTATAAATAATTAATGTGTTGTTTTCAAAGCATATAATTCCTTTGACAAATGTAGATAACGACATATCTTCACCCAGTCAGTACAAATCACTTGTTATGTTATTTCCAATAATTAAATTAATAATATGCTTGTGGAGGCTCTCAGTCGTACAGGAAAGTTCCATCGTAGAAAGGGTTCCGTCTGTCGTCATCTGTACTTGTGGGTAAAAAACAAAAATCAAAAAGGACGTTTCGCTTCTCTCACAGAAGCTTCGTCAGCGGTAGACAACTCTGAAGTCTCCGTGAAGACGCCGGGAAATTGCTCTGCGCTAAAAGGCTGAGCGTGGCCTATTTGAGGACTGGGTGGGGATGGTTAGTCACGCCCCTATGGTGAAGAGGCCCATTGATTTCTAAATTCCCTATCGTTGGGTCTTGATTAGGCCTATTGTTTGGGCTAGGGCTGAATAGCTACTTTCAGTTAGCCTGATCAGCATGTTTGTGTCCCTTGGTGGTCAACAAGTTATTGTAAATAGGAGACAGGTTAAACCTGATACCTCCTTCACGGCTCAGAGAGGGTGAAAATTTCACCATAGGGGCGTGACTAACCATCCCAACCAGTCCTCAAATAGGCCACGCTCAGCCTTTTAGCGCAGAGCAATTTCCTGGAGTCTTCACGGAGACTTCAGAGTTGTCCACCGCTGACGAAGCTTCTGTGAGAAACGTCCTTTTTTGTTTTTTGTTTTTTACCCACAAGTACAAATGACGACTGACGGAACCCTTTCTACGATAAATTAATAATAAATAAAGCTTCATATTTATGTATACAGTGAAACTCCTCTACAACAAAATCATGTTTGCAGCAAGAAATTTTGAAAACGGGGTTTGTCACTGTAGCAAATTTGATCTCAGATGTAAGCACACACACACACACACACACACACACACACACACACACACACACACACACACAAACATATGTGTACACGCACACACAAACGGATGTGTACTCTATTTTTATTCCAATAGTGCATAAGTATGAGCACAGACTTATTTGACACTTCATATAGTCAGTGTAGAAAGAAAAAAAAGGGAAAGAAATTGCGAATTTTACGATCAGCATTCACTTTCACTTACATCAGTTTCTTGGATAATGTGTTTTATTGTCCTTGCTCCGTCTTTCATTTTGATCACTTTTACCCTCTCTTCCAGCATCAGAGCTCTTCTTGTCTTAGCTGCTTGACATGCAAAGGTCCGTTTTGTAGCCATTTTAGCAATGCAACGTTCATGCTGCGTCTGAATCTAACAATAACAAATACTTCCTGGACCCGGTGGATTTTCTTTCCACCCTCTCACTGTCTCTAACTCGACCTCCCCTCAATCGCCACCCAAGACAGCGTTGCTCAGCTGATGTCATGCAATGAACTTTTAAAGCCAGCCACGGAACGCTTCGTAGTCCTCGATGGCCATAGTTAGCGTGATGGAACTCGCCTTCTCTCTAATTAGCGCTCCAGTTAGCGTAAGGTTTTTAGCATGATAACAAGTAAAGCATGTGAGGAAAAGTTCGTTTATTTGAATGTCCGTCGAGCCATAAGCAATTTACTCTGAGCAGCTAATCGGATGCTACGGATCTAGCCTCAGTATCTACACACATAG